TCAAGTGATCGCTCGTACGATGAAAGTGCTTTTGAGTACTCGCCCATATGATAATACACCACGCCAATGTTGCTGTAGGAAGTAGCCAACTTGGGATGCTTCGGAGGGAGAGCTATTTTTCTAATTTCAAGTGATCGTTCGTACGATGAAAGTGCTTTTGAGTACTCGCTCATATTATCATACACATTGCCGATGCATTCGTAGATACTAGCTAAGTCGGGATGATTTGAGGGGAGAGCTTTGTTTTGAATTTCGAGTGACCGTTCGTAAGATGAAAGTGCTTTGGAGGACTCGCCCATGTAATAATATACATTACCGATGTTGCCATAGGGAGCAGCTAATGAGAGGTGATCTGGAGAGAAAGTTATTTTTAGGATTTCAAGTGCTCGTTCGTAAGATGAAAGTGCTAGCGAGTACTCGCCCATGTTAAAATACAGAGCGCCGATGTTGTTGTAGGATGTAGCTAAATCCGGATCATCGGAAGGGAAAGCTAATTGCCGGATTTCAAGTGCTTGTTCGTACGAGGAATGTGCTTTTGAATACTCGCCCATATAATAATACATCTGACCAAGTTGGTCATTGTAGTTCGCTCTATCTTCATCGGAAGATGCCTTCTCGAGAAGGATCCGGTACAGTTGTTCTGCTTTTGCAAACTCGCCCACATTCTTAAGTATATGACCCAGTCGAGACCATCCTGTTGTCCAACTGAGCTCCTCGCGTATGCTTTCTGTGAGTGTATGAAGGTCATTATTGTCGTTATCCATTAGGGTTAGATCAACTTGCCATAGTCGATCAGTATGATCGTCGTGGATTCGTTCAATTCGATCAATACGAAAAATTGTGTGTGATGAAAAAAGAATTTCTTCCTCTTGATCGTCGAAGAAGCCAACGTTTCTCACGTCGCCAAAAGAAATCGATGATGTTGTGCATAGTATAGGATCGACGGTCATAACAAAGAGTATACCAACTGAATGAGCATCATTGTTGAGTGCTACTGGCCGTGCAAAAATTTCCAGGGAGAAAGTGCGATTGCGACTCGTTGAGAGAAAATTATTGAAAGACATCAGACCACCTTCTGTTCTTTTCATTTTCTCAAAGTTTTCTATAGATAAACTTTGACCTCGAAAAACTTGGAATGTAGTATTCGTCGTTGGGTTGGTGGATTGTTGTTCACAATGTAGATTTTTTATATTCTGATGTAAGTCTCGAATAAAGAAACCCATTTTGAGTATAATATCAACGTCCATTAATCGTAGACCACGATTGAGCATTGAGTATATAAAATATGGAGCCGTGTACCACCATATTGGTTTATGGTTATGATATTCTTGTTCGATCTTATCAACATCCTTTTTAGTAACATCACTTTGAAGACGACAATAGTCAACAAATGCTTTAACTGATTCATCGTCGTCATCTTCAATTTCCAAAAATGTTTCTTTAAGCAATTGCGTGTACATAAACAACACATCGATGCCATGATAACTGATCGGAATCAGAGCTCGATCACAATGCTCACAAGCAATTTTTAATGCCTCACAAATCGATTCAATTTCTGTGTAGACACCTTTTACTTTAGATATTGCTTTAGCCCATGGTTCATGAATCGAAGGATTGTCACAAAAAACATAAATGGATTCTAATTGTGGGCATGCTTGAATTTCTGGTATTATATTTTGTTCCAGTGTACCAGACACAATCATGAATACTTTTTCATTTTGAATACCAGTGAGAAATTCAATACATTGGTCAGCGTCTGTGAATGTTGTAATTGTTGCTACAATACATTGTAGATGTTGTATTGATTTTTTATAATTATCTTTTGATTCATCAAAATTGGCGTCAAGCCAGATCACAAGAAAATTTTGTAGAATCCGACGAAAAGGTAGGGACAGCACAGCATTACGATCGGTAGCAGTCATCATTGCTCGCTCACCAACAGTAGTTGCTGTCAATTTTTCATTGTCCATAATGAATGAATGGAATAAGTGAGTCGTCGTCTTCTACACATATGATGGTTTATTCTTTTTGTTGACTTTTTTTTCTAGCTGGTTGCTATAGACTTTAAGAGCTTCTATCTCGATTGTTCGTTTATTTAAAGAGCGTTGTTGACGAAACAACGACGGATGGAATCTCTTTACATCAAGCAAGAAGTGAGGCAGAAAAAGAACAAAACAACACTAAAATGCATCCATTATTGCCGTCAAAAGAAAAGAAAAACACGAAAAATCATAAATACAATTTAAAAATACTGTTCATTGTAGGGGTGTCATTTATCGTTCACTTTATAATAAATATAAATTATGAGAAATTTATATTTATTATAAATGTAAATTACTTATCATTTAATTTACGCGTAAATTAAATAAAAGTAAATTTAAATCGACACCCCAAGTAAAAGTACTCAACAATGTTATTCAAACATTTAGAATGCTATCGCCATTGATTTTTGCTTGTGGTATGGGGTGTCGATTTAAATTTACGTTTCATTTAATTTACG